CATCCCTCTCCCCCTCCTCCCACCCCTCTTCCCCCCACTCCTCCCGTCCCTTCCTGGCAGGTAGACTTTTTCTTTTCCCCCGAATCACTGGTTCGCCTCCGTAATATTAATCATGTATCTGAATGAGAGCTGATTGTTAGTGTTGTTCTTTTCCAACCGGGGGCAACGTCCCACTAGCAACGAGGATTAGATTGAACGTATGAATCTGGACGTATTTGTGGAGACGTGCAGAAAATGGCGATTGATCTGCATTGCTGCATCTCTGCTCGAAAGTCATCCATATTCATGCTTATAATCCAATCCTGTTTGCTTGTGGGACCTTGCTCCGGTATTTAAGTTTGTCGCGGCCCGTTTTCCTTGCTGTAGTCCCATCTCACGCCTGTTTTTAATATTTCCTTTCTTTTTTCTTTTTCTGTTTTGATTTTTTTGACCTTTGCGCGCCGATAGACGGTGTGACGATATGAATATCGTAGAAATATATACATATAGAAGTACAAGAAGAAAACGAAGAAAATGAAGAAAACGAAGAAAACGAAGAAAATGAAGAGAAGAAGAAGAAGAAGAAATAGAAAGCGTATGTAGAAGAAGAAGAAGGGGAGGAAGAAGGCAAGGAGGAAGAAGAAGAAATGAAGAAGAAGAAGAAGAAGGGGAGGAAGAAGGGAAGGAAGAAGAAGAAGGAGAAGAAGAAAGAAAATGAAGAAGAAGAAGAAGAAATAGAAGGAAGAGTATGTAGAAGAAGAAGAAGGGGAGGAAGAAGGGAAGGAAGAAGAAGAAATGAAGAAGAAGAAGAAGAAGAAAAAGAAGAAGAAGAAGAAGAAGAGAAGAAGAAGAGTATGTTGAAGAAGAAGAAGGGGAGGAAGAAGAAGACGAAGAAAGAAAAGATTAAAAAAAAGATGGAGTGTGTCATTTGCTTTGTTCGACTGATAGGCCTTTTCCTCTTCCCTTGTCCCTTCTTTTGACTGAATCCCTTTCTCTTTCTCTTGCCTCTGTGAGGTTTCGTTTCCTCCTCCTTTTCTTTACCTCTTTCTTTGGCTTTTGGCTGCTTGCAAGTGTGTCCTTGTGACACATGGGGATGGGGCCAGCCAGCGCTCAACACATGTCATCCACGTGGCTGGCCTTGACGATATGTATGTACATATACATACATATAAAGAGTTTGTCACAGCCCTCGTTTGCTGTCCTCTTGTCACAGCAAACCTCGTTTGTTGTCCTCTTCTCCCTCTCTGCCTATAATTTACCGGGCAGCTCTGTTTGACTCTGGCGCAGCTCTCCTTGGGCATCCTTGTGAACATCCACATCATCCTCACCGTAGCTGTCCTATCTGCCGAGGTGGGGACAGGTAAAGAAAAAAAGAAGAAAAGAAAACGAGAAGAAAAGAAAAAAGAGAAAAAAAGAACAAAAGAAAAAAGATACGTTGATCTGTGGGATGTGTTATTTGCTTTGTGATAATTGGATTATCTTTCTTTCCTTCCCTGTCAGGTTTGGTTTCCTCCTCCCTTTCTTTACCTCTTTGCCTTTTGGCTGCGTGCAAGTGGGTCCTTGTGACACACGGGGATGGGGGCAGCCAGCGCTCAACCTGTCATCCACGTGGCTGGCCTTGTACGTAAGAGGTTATGAACAGGTGGAGCTTTCCTTACCTCTTCCCCTTCCCCTTTTTTCCTTTTCCTTTTTTCTTTCCCCTTTTTTTCGCTTCTGCGCTCTGATTCACAATGTGACAATATATATATTTTGTCTTTTTCCGCCTTTGCGCTCTGATTTCCAATGTGACAATATATATATTTGCATACATATTTTTTACATTTTTGTTTTCTACACAATTATTTTTTTAAAAGTAAGGGCGGGAATTCCCCTGCCCAGTGGCAGGATTCGAACTCGTGACCTGTTTACTTATTATTGACAGTTTTACGTATGTGGACGATACAGCCACATAGGCTGGGGTCCCGCCTTTTTTCTTTGGGTTCCCGCCTTTTTTTGTTTGGGTTCCCGCCTTTTTTCTTTGTGTGAGGATAATGCAATTAATTACTTGGGAGGAAAGGAATAAATTTAGCCCGTTTGTTGTGTGGAAAGGCAGAACGACCTGGTAGCCCGGTCAGGATGCACCTGGGCACCTAGACGCCCCAAGTGCAGATCATGCACTTGGCGGCGTCTGCATGTTGTCATGCATTTCCGACCGGGCACCGAAACGCCCACGTGCAGCCCCTCTTTTTTTTTTTTTAATCAATCCTCATATATTCCAAAATAACACTCAAGGCCGGGACCCCACAATTCCACCCGGAGTTATCCTGGCAGCATCAGCCAGTTTACCTTACAGTCAGTAGACAGAAACAAAGACCAATCAGAGAGTTATCCGTGCAGCCCGTTTCTTTCTGCTCCGCGCCTAGTAATGCATTTTCCCCGAATTAAAACGATGAATTAAAGTATAAAGTAATTAAGGAATTTAGCAGGAATATCCGCCCCCCCCCCCCTCTCTCTCTTAATTAAAACGATTATAATATATATAACTAGGTTCCCAGCTGCGCCGCCCGTTACTTCGTTTTCCAGGGCGGCCCGGCTGCTGCAAGGGCCAAGGAGGGTCCTAACCAAAATATCCGGAAAAAAACTATGTTATGCGTAGACTGAACAATACTAATTAAGGGAATGAGCAGGAAATGTTTT